GCACATAAAATTTGGTGTCAATCCGAGTAGTATAAGTGTGTTTCGTCGCATTGGATGTGAATTGAAGAACTTAAAGTTTATAAGTTTGATCCAATTGGTTTTAGGGGGTGATTCGTAAATTTAGCATTGTTTCGGGCGTTCTGAGGGTTCAAGCGAGTACGTTTTATGATTTCAAACTTTTCGATATGTTCGGGCGGGGCCCCGAGTGTCAATCGGACGAGGCTCGAGTTGAGTCAGAAAACTTGGGAAAGAGCTGAAGCTCCAGTTTGCTGTCATAACCGCATATGTGGTTGAACAGCCGTAGGTGCGAGACCGCAGAAGTGGTCCACCCATCGCAGATGCGGCCCAAGGGGGAGCCCAGAAGCGGCAGAAGCTGCTCCTTTTTCGCAGGAGCGGGACCGCAGAAGCAGCCCCAGACCGCAGATGTGTCCCCAAGCCAGCCCAAGCAAAGTCCGCAGATGCGGACACTTCCTCGCAGAAGCGAGACCACATATGCGGTCCCCTAACCGCAGGTGCGGAAATCGCTGAAGGCAGTACCTTCATTTAATATGGGAGTGTGTCATTTTCGACACATTCCACTCATTTTTTGGGCGATTTGGGAGCTTCCAAGAGGGGATTTAAACCTAGCAATTGTGAGGTGAGTTACTCCTACTTAATGTGAGTTTAATACTTGGTTTTTGGGTAGATTAACACCTAAAGATTTGTAAAAATCATGGGGTTAGAGTAAAACCTAGGGTTTTGATAAAAACAAGATTTTACCACGAAGTTATGTAATGAAGCAAAAATCATATATTCTTAATCCTTAGGCTATGGGTAACAACTTCCCTCGAGAATTTCCGGAATCCGGGCACCTGGGCCCGGGGATGGATTTTAGGAAACTTGTGCTTAGGGTTGGGAATTTATTTTTAATAGTTAGAATATGAACTCTTGAGCTTGTATTGACTAGTTCTTACCCCGTTTGATTAGTTTTGGATCGTTCGGCTCCCAATTGAGGGTTTGAGCGCGTTCTTGAAATTGGAAGTAAGCTTTGGAGCAAGCTGAGTCTCCTTTCTAACCTCATAAGAGGGAAATAAACCCCTAAGTGAATTAAATAAGTGTATGTGATTGTCTGTGGGGGCTACGTATGTATGTGGTGATGAGAGTTCATGCGTAGCTACTATTATGCTAATTGTCAACTGTTTTAAATATAAGTTAAGGGAAATGTTGGGAACGTTTAATTCAATAATTGAAAACTCGCTAGTTGATAGGATTGGCTTGCCTAACCACTGTGTTGGAAGCCATCACGACCTAGGTCGTGACAATATACATGTCACATATAATAAAGATTTTAGAAAGAAAGGAAACAAGATTCAAAACTAACCCACAACTTGATTGTGGAGCATATTCAAAATTTTGTCTGCATTGTATTGATAAGAAATAGAGATTTTGGTTCATTAGTAAGAAAGAGAGAAATTGGGTTTGAAAACCTTTGGAAAAGGAAAAGAATTGATTTTTTTTTGGGGGGGGGGGGGGGAGGTTATAAAAAAAAAGGGGAGAGATTTCGGGTGATTATTAAGAAAGAGAGGAAAAAAAAAGACAGAATCTTAAATGTAGGGGGAGTTATTGGAAATGGGGGATGGGTGTCGTGTAACTGACAGGCTAAAATTAAGGGATCTTGAATTTCTTTTTCTTTTTAATGGTTTTGTATATAATTTGTAAATATAAATATATAAAATAATTAATAAAGAACCTAAATAAAGGTGGTGAATAAATTTTTAATATAGTATAGGTAGGTAAAAGTCCCTATTGTATTGACTAAAAAGAGTAAAAAGTGAATTCCATCACCAACAAAGCCCAATTTGGAAGTAGTCTCAACTCTATAACAAGTTTTTACAAGTATTTCAATGTGTATTTTGTTGGTTGGTTTATTCTTTGGATTACACATTGTGATTTGCGTTCATAACATATCTCCCTTCTTCCTTCTTGCTAGATATGGAACAGGCGTTAATTGTCTCACCAAGTCCATTGGGCCTTGTACTCTAATTTAGTTTTCAGTCCGTCTCTGCTTTATCACATGCATATTTGCTGAAACTTTTTTTTTTTGGTAGGAAAGATAAGTAATATATATTAAAATATGCGTACAGGGTTTTGATGCTCATGCATCATATTACAAGTGCTAGTGTTAGCTATACTATTAGATATACTATCCGTACAGGCGTAACTATGTGAGGTATCGCCTCTAGTAATGTCACACTGACGATCCTCCAAAGTAGTATGGACTGCATTTTTACTACTAAAGCTCTCAAAGTAAATAATAGCAGTCTCCTTAGGTACATGATTAGTAACAAAAAATCTATTGCTGTCTTGATCATCCAGCTGCTGTACTGTTGTAGGTGGAACCATGCACTGGAACGTAAATCCTCGCTGGTCTTCTAACAGTTGTTTCGTCACACAAAAAGGTGGTTCAGCAAAAATGCACAATGCAGCATTTGGTGGCATCCTACTTCCTAGTTTTGCAAGATTATCTGCTACACAATTCTGCTCTATGTACGCATAGGTGACTACTGCATCATGGAGTGTCCCCAGGAGGTACCTGCAATCCAAAATTAAGTTAGAATACCTCTAATTTTGGTTATCCAGAAGTGTAATTACCTCTTTTGCATCTATTTCCACTTGAAGTGGTAGCAGTCTTAGTTGTGCTACTAGACTTAAGCCTTTGATGAGTGCTTGTAATTCAGCAGATAGACAGTTCATATGAGGAATTGGGCCAGCGAATCCCACCATCTACTCGCCCTTGTGATTTCTAATAATCCCCCAATTCCATCTTTGTCTGTCGCTAAAGAAGTTGCCCCATCCGTATTTAGTTTGTAAAAATTTATTGCTGGAGGAATCCATCTTTGATGTACTGGAACTCTATTAGAAAGCATATATGTTGAGCCTACGAAGTAGTCATGTTCTATTGCTAGATTTAAAACATTAAAGGGATTAGGCTTTTGATCTTTATGCTCAAATATGTATTTATTACGAGTAGTCCAAAGGTGCCAAAGACTTGTAGCTAAAAAAGTCTTTGAGTTAACTTTATGCGGAAAAGTAATTCCTTTGTAGTTAATGAGCTTCTTAAACCAATGGATAGGGGCAGAATTTGGGGGTATATTTTTGATTATTTTTTGTAAATGAATGACATACCAGTAATGTTTTGCACAAGAGCAGTGGAGAAGAATATGACTTATCGATTCTTGGCTAGCTTGGCATTTTGAGCAGATGGAACTTATTGGAATGCCTATGTAATTTAGACATTGTAGAGTCGGTAGTCTATTATGGAGAACCAACCATAAGAAGCTTCTAATCTTTGGTTGCACAGGCAGTTTCCATATCCATTTGAAGTCATTGCAAGAGGCAGTTGAATAATTGCTATGTCACAACCCAATTCCATAACAGGTCATGATGGCGCCCGACGCCGATGCCAGGCAAGCCAACACGGAACATTTCTAACTTCTTATGTTAATTTTATCAGAAATTAAGGGAAGTAAATACTCCAATTTGGATTCAAAACCAAAAGTGATAGATAATGTAAGTAACATAATTATACAACCCAAAACGTAAGTCTACCAATGTGTGTGTGCCAAGACCTGGTGTCACAAGTATGGGCATCTAGTAGAATATACAAAAGAATATCTCTATCCTACTGTCTGAGATAAAGAAAAACATCACAAGTAAAGGAAGACTCCATCTGGCAGCTGAGCGGCATAGGAAGGAAGCAGCTCACCGTGGAAGTCCCTGCCACAAGCTCAAGGGCGCGCACCGGACTGGTAACCAGATGTATCTGCCTCAGATCCTATGATGTGTCATGTAAATTACATCTTGTTGATGACAATCGATGAGTTTGAACTTTTTATTCTCTGTTTTAAGGGCTTGGACCCCTGCACTTGCGAAAAGCTATTGAGCATCAGCAAAATATCTGTAGCTAGAAAGCAATTTTTTGGTCCTTGTTTGATGTTTTCAGCTTTATACCAGTTCTGAGCCATTGTATTACTTCCTTAGTTCCATCAGTTGTAGCTAATGTGGCACTTATTCAGCTTGTTTCTGGGAGCTGGGACAGGAAGGAAAGTGGAAAGTTTATGTATCTGTGATCTGTATTAGCGGTCTTATGCTGAATGCAAATAAGTTTCATTTTGACAGGAAGATGGGGGTGAGCGGTGGCAGATCTGAGTAGAGTCAAAGGGTACCGAATCCCCTTTGTCGAGAAATTACACTGTGCAAATGGGGTAAAAATGATTTTTCTTGGTTATCTGTTAGCCGTTGCATCCCCTTTAAATGAAGAAAAATTCAAGTATAACAGTAAATGGGGGTTCAAAAGTTGCTTTAGGTCATATGCTTTAAATCCCAACTGCGACATCCTAGAATTTTTTGGAATCCCCTTGTATAAATTTTTGGTTATCACAACCGGTAGCAGTTAACTAAGTTCCCTTGGATGAAATGATGCTTGTTAGAACTAGGAGGAACATTTTGACCGTCTCCAACTTAATTTGTGATTACGGGTTATGTATGAATGCATATATTATAGGACTTCATTTTCCATTAGAGGATATATTCTTGGTATAAGTAGAAAGGAGCTGGCAGTGGTGTATGATACACATATATTCATAAAAGTTAGTGTATGTCCCTTATATATTGGAGCTATCTTTGATTCTATGAGTACTCCATTACCTGAACTAAATTATCTTACATCTTGGAGGATTATTTACACGAGGATATGACATAACGAGGTGATACGGTTATACAGTTCTTGTGATAAAATGTCATTCGTTTGGATAGATTAAAGCTATTCATGTAAAAAGTGTGTAATCTCATTTGTATATATACTTGTGGTATGCCAATACAAACAGAGGAGCATACCAAGTCATATGTATACTGAGTTTGAAGAAAGAAGAGTTGACTAATTTTTTTTTCCTATTCCAATTATAGTTTGGTGCCTTTTCTCTATAGGTTCACCTTTTGGAGAATCCCCTTTATTCATTTTTAAAAAAGTACACTAGTTAGTTTCTGTTCATTTTATTAAGGTCGCATCTTTTATTAAATTATTAAAATGATTTTTGTAGGGTTTGGGGCCTTATTCAACAAGCATAAAGAAAGTTGAGAAGGAAATCAAGGAAATGGAAAACATGATAAATGATTTATGTGGTATGTATTTGTATATCTTAGTTTTGTTCTTTGTTGTTGAAATAATGGTACCTCTAATTGCATAATACTGCTCATTTGCCTCGAATTTGGTCTTCATTGTTTGGGGGCTAGCAAGAAAGAATAGAAAAAAAGAGAACTTTTCTTATCCCTTATTTCTGAAATTTAATTCGATTATGTTAAAAGGTGTGATGAGTTTTCCTACTTTTTCTTTTGCATTGTTCCTATAAATGTATGGTGAATTCTAATTTAGAATATCTGCAGGTATTAAGGAATCTGATACTGGGTTAGCTGCACCAAGTCAATGGGATCTTGTTTCTGATAAACAGATGATGCAGGAGGAGCAACCTCTTCAGGTTTGGTTTTCTGAAAATGAAAAGTGCATAAATCTTGTTAGTCAGATACGCTAAAGCTTTAACTAAATCTTTGGAGCAGGTGGCGAGGTGTACAAAGATAATTAGTCCCAACACTGAAGATGCAAAATATGTTATAAACATCAAGCAAATCGCAAAGGTCTGTTATCTTATTTTTTTTAAATATTATATTGGCTGTATTACCTTCATTTCTAACTGTAATTTAATTTGTGTTGGTGTTTGGAGGCAGTTTGTCTAAGAAGCTCTTTGCAAACTGATCGTGAGATATAGAACTCTGCTTAAGCTGTAGTTAGCAGCAAAACATAAATAAGAAGTTTGATGCTTCATGATTGGATATCTATCAGTCATCTTCCTATTCGTCTTAAATATTACACTGAATTTATTAACAGGATATTTTCCCTTGTTATTGTCTTTAGCCTGAAGGCTTTGTGCTCTGTAGTTTCCTTTATTTTTTTTGAGTATGTGACGTATTGCCATGAGAGAAGTCTTATAGTACTGTTGGTTGGATCTATTTTTGCAATGGATCGTAATTACCTCATTTAAATGTGCTCATTTCGTAACTGCAGTTTGTTGTTGGATTGGGTGATAAAGTTTCACCAACTGATATAGAAGAAGGCGTGCGAGTCGGGTATTCCTTCTGCCTCTTCTTCTTCTTCTTCTTTGCCTAGTGTAGATGTTCTTTAGCTCTTAGGTGGAACAAAGAACTTTAGGGGGAATATCTGTAGCTGAAACTTGGGCTTTTGTGTGACTGGTGCCTTGATAGTGGTGGTGGAGAAACTCTTTTGAGGACTGTGACTGAGGAGGCGGAGGAGGAGAAAAAGCCGCCGTAAAGATGAGGTTACAACTACTACCGGTGGTGGCGCTGCCGCTACTCATCGGCATTCTGTTTTATGGTCCCAGCTCTGTATAGATTGAGGTTCACCAGCAGTAAATGCAGAATTAAACAAAGAGACTAAGAAAAGAAAATACTTTGATTATGGAAAAGAAGATATGAAAACAACCTAATCCATAAATTACTCTTGTCGCATTATCTCTGTTTCTTCCTTGTTCCTATATCATTCCTCTCCACTGATTTGTACGACAAATTAAGTTATGCAATTTTACTATGTTTAACAGAATGGAGTTTCTGTTGCAATTTTCAACATTATTTTTAATTTAAGTGGCTCAGATAAGGCAAGTTGTTCAAGACTTATGGATGACATCACGGTAAGAAAACTTCGTCTAACTCTTTCAAAAGTAAATTCCTTGGTTGATATTGTTCACTATAATATTTGCATTATATTTCCATCTAGTATCTTGTCGCCGCCGCCACCACCATTTGTATCATGAACTTAGCCTTCAGGTCTCACAAATAAATTAGTTGCTAGCTTTGAGATTGTTGGTGCCCAAATTCTCTCTTTTGGTCTGTACTTGTGTACTTTATAGTTTATTTTTATACAAAAATGTAATTATAGTTTATCTTCTTTTGTAGGATGATCATGAGTAAACCAACATGCTGGCAATATGGTCCATCAATGCACAAGTTACTGGAAGAAAATTTGCTTTTAAGGTTGTTATTAGAATAGAAATTATGACTCTTGAGATGTTCTTGTTCTTTTTGTAAGTAAAAACATATATGTTTTAGTGGTATTTAGTTTTTGAAAGTATGTAAAATACTTAGTGCTTCAGTTGCATTGAAAATAATGTAAATTGTGTATGTAGCAACTACATATTTATTGTTGAAATTGTGTATGTAGCAACTACATATTTATTGTTGCTAGCTGTATAGAAAATATAATATTATTGGCAAAAAGTAATTTTGTGGCCACAACAATACTTGTTGCTAAAAGCCTTTCTAACAGAATATTAACTACCCTCCCGCCATTTTTTTTGCCACAAGTAATGTTATTGTGAAAAAATAATAATTTATCGCAACAATAATTGTTGTCGCTAAATATTTTCATAAGCCACAATTGTGTGACCAAAATATAATTAATGGCAACAACATTTTTTGTTGCGTTAAGACAAGATTTTGCAACAATGTCTTTTGTTGTTGCAAAAACTTTTCCCATCAGCATTCATTGCAACGGCATGCAACAACTTTCTTGTTGTTGCCAAAAGTACTTTTCGCAACAATATTCAATATATGGCAACAAAAAAAATTATTGCAAATTCCATACTTTCTTGTAGTGCCAATGCCATGCGTAGCCCCTTTCTAAGGAGTGATTACCGGATATTGTACTAATGTGATCCTATAGGCTAATCAACCTAGGACCCATCTCTCCCAAATCCTCTTTACTTGAAAACTTTACTTTCCTTTTTTATGCACACAACTTGTTTAAATTCTTGTCTTATTATTTGAGTTATACAATACCCAACATGCTTTATTTGCAATTATCTGCTTCAACTATTTATTTGTTAATGGACTAATTCGTAAGTATAAGTTCAGTTGGGACCCACAGTTGTGGACAGAGAGGGGTGCCTAACATCTTCCCCTCAAGGTTATTTCGAGCCCTTACCCTAATCTCTGGTAATGCAAACTAGTCTGAGAGTTAATCGCTGTAGGCGCCTTAACGCACAATAATCCGTTAGGTGGCGACTCTTCAAATACCCAATTCCCAAAACGAAATGAGTTATTCCCCCTATGAATGTCGAAACCCGGACTTCCCCGTCAAAAAGGGAAAAAAGGGGGCGCGACAAACAGTAGAATATAATTTTTCTATAATTTTACTACAACTTTACTACAATTTCTGCAGTATAATGTATGTCATGTCTTCTTCTTCTTCTTCTTCTTCTTCTTCTTCTTCTTCTTCTTCTTCTTCTTCTTCTTCTTCGAGTTTCAATCTGAAATTCAGCCAAAATCAAGTCTAATCTTCACCAGAACACCCTCAAAATTGAGATATAAACTCCAAATCATATTTCCAATTGTTTGCAACAACACCCAATACAAACAAATAATGGTTTTTGAAAACCCAATTCGAATTCAAAGCTTCAATGCTCTTTAATGGTTGTCAATGGTGGAATTGGTGCTCTCTTTTCCTTTGCTTTACATTACTGAAATTAGGGATTGAGAGATTGAGAGACGTAGAGAGAATTCCCAATTCTTTGCAACAACACCCAATTCAAGCAAATAATATTTTTTGAAAATCCAAATTCGAATTCAAAGCTTCAAAACTTTTTAATGGTTGTCAATGGTGGAATTGCTGCTCTCTTGTGCAACATACGTGGGGAGGGGGGTGGGATGTGGAGAGAGAAATGTGTTGGGGGGGGGAGTGGAAGATATAGAGTGATTTTAGGACACTAATTATTATCATTAATTCCCTTAAAATATACATAAATGGTAATTGGGTATATAAAATGTAATTATAGTAAAACTTGAGTAAGGAGTGTAATATAATTTCATATAGTGTATAGGAATGTAAAAATCTCTTTTTCTTGTTTGAATTGGGTTGTTAAGAGTATTTGGGTTAAGTTGGGCATGACGTCATGTAGCCACTTTTAAGTATGATATTTCGAATATATCCACAATTTACAATGTATTTAAAGATTAGCCAATTTCACTCAAACTTCAGGACACGACGTCCTAGAATTTAAACCTCAAAATTCAAACTTCAGGACATCGTGTCCTAAAGTTCTAAAATTATGTACAGAAGTTCGAATCTTATGTCCTGAATTTTAAATTAGTAGTTCAGAAATTCAGGACACTTAGTCCTGAATTTCAAATTAGCAGCTCAAAAATTCAGGACACTGAATTTCCAAATTCAGGATACTTAGTGTTGAAGTTTGGGTGAATTAGTTAATCTTTAAATACATAGTAAATTGTTGATATATTTTAAATAGCGGGCTTAAAAGTGACTATTGTTGCACTTTGCCCCTAGAAGATCAACGTGTAGGCTGAGTAGCTTATGTTTTTGTTGTTCTTTGGGCCCTGGTCCTAATCCGTTACCGTGAACAAAAAAGAGAAATTTTCACAAACCACTATTGTTTAGTGGTTATTAGCTAGTTGTAGCTATCATTTACTATATTACTTTCTATAGCTATGTTTTCAGTTTTGCTAGAGTGTATTCGATGTATTTAAGCTAATGTATTTATGAATACAGTAGCAATACTCAGCGTGAAACAGGGGAATACAGCTAGGCAATTATTGTATTCGACTGTATTCACAATATGTATTTGTAAATACAGTAACGTAAATAGCGTAAATCGTGGTCTATTCAGTTGTTTTTAAAAGGAAAACTAAATGAATTAACAGAAATAGACTCCTAATATAAGTCAACAAACTCAATTATAAATCTAAATACATAAATACATCTGAATATATAAATTATATTAATTAAAAAAACATATGAATACATTCATGGAATATAGCGAGACAGTGAATACAATGAAATACATGAAATATCGCGAGATACAGTAAAATACAATAGAAAAAAAAGACAATGAATACAATGAGATACACAGAATACAGCGAGATACGTTGAAATACAATGGAAAAAAAGTAACAGACTCTTCAAGTTGCTCAGCCCCAAAACTCCGTCGTCTTTATTTAAGAATGACCCTAATGTCGACTCGTCGATAGCAGATTTCGGACCTTCATTGTCAGCCCCAATTTACCCTAGTAACCAAAAGGGAAGAAGGGTACAACATTTTGTAGTCTACAAGAATAGTAAGAGGCCATAAGCGGAAAATCTATCAAACGCCTCTGAGTTTGTCTTTCACAGTACCCGTGGTTTCCATTGGGGCAAATTATTCATGAAAAATGAAAAAAGGGAATGTTGCAAACAATCGTTGTTTTAATGGTTGTTGAGTCAATCCATGTTTTAATGGTTGCGTAGAAGCTTATATACTCTCGTTCGGGTCATCATCACCAGGCCTAATAGGTGGATCAACATCAAAATTTGGTACAAATGGCGACTCCGGTACCGCAGTTTTATCTGTCGGTACGGTGATTTGTGGCGTTGGTTGAGAGAGAGAGGGTGGAGAAAAATCTGAAAGAATGAGAGAGAAAAATAATACAAAGCATATTTTATGGCTTAAGGGTAGGAGGTGACCATAAATAGATATTTGGCTATTAAAAACAAAAGGTAGCTATGGAATATAATTTTTTAAAAGGGTATTTATTTAAAATAAATAAGATATCAACCTTTGCTACAGGAGGTAAAAATTCCAAGAAAAAACTTATTATTATCAGAGAATAAAGGATTGCTGCACCTATTTTCAAGAATTTCTTTTTATAATCTGGCGCCAAAAATTTGACCTTTGATTATTTGTGTATTTTGAGCAATACACATATAGTTCAATTGACAAATGATAGTTTTGCGATTTTACTATTATGGTGGACTTGAAGCTTCTTGGTAATTAATCAGGGTTGGCATACAATAATTTAGTTTCCAAACTCGAAAAAATGGCAGGTTTGGAATTTTAGAGCCCGTTTGGATATAAGATTTTTTTTACTTTTTTCGAAAATTACACTTTTTTAAAATCAGTGTTTGATCATAAAAATTCTAATTTTCACTTAAAGATGAGTTCTAGAATTTTTCGAAAATTTGAAAAACTCCAAAAAGCCGTTTTTCAAAATTTTCACTCAGATCACTCAAAAAAATTCACAAAAATAACCCAAAATTATATTTATATCCAAATACAACTCTAATTTTCAGTTACCATTTTCACTTGAAAAAAAAAATATACTTTTTTGGAATTTTACAATTCTTATGTCCAAACGCCCACTTAAGCATACCTATAGAAAATCTGGTGGTCGATAGAAGTCAATGTCAACGCACATGTTGCTGACTATGTTTTGGTGTGTAGATTACGAGTGTATTCATTAAGTGTATATTAGAGAGCTGTGGCCTGTAAGCTTTCCTTACATGGCTACCTACAAAATTCTGATAGTAATTCTCATCCTCGTGCTGTTATGTCACTTCTCGCGTGCGGACTTGGCTGAAATCTCGAAGAAACAAAATCTAACAGATTACCAACAGTTATTCTCGGCAAATAGATTGTTCAAAATGCAAATTTTCAGTCCCGGCAAGTCAAGAAAGCGTTACTTAGGCATATTTGCTCGGCCAAGTCTTGATATGTACTCCCACGTTATCCAAGAGGGAGATGAAAAGGCTGTGTGGATAGCTAACAGAGACGATCCTATAACTGATACATCTGCAAGTCTTATGATCGATCGTGATGGCAGATTAATGATTTCTCATAGTGAAGGAAAGGTCATTTTGCTTAGTGCCACTCCAACAGCAGCAACTAACTTAACTGCTATACTACTAGATAATGGTAATTTTGTGCTGAGAGAACTGAATTCCAATGGCTCCGTTCATCGAACACTATGGCAAAGCTTTGATTATCCAACCGATACACTTTTGCCTGGAATGAAGCTAGGGATTAACTTGAGAACTGGACATAACTGGTCATTGACTTCATGGGCAACCGATCAAGCACCTGCCTCAGGGTCTTTTACCTTTGGTCTTGACCCTAATGGTACAAATCAGCTCATAATCTCGTGGATGGGCAAGGTCTATTGGAAGAGTGGGCCTTTGCCTAACGGCCATTTTGGTTTTAAATATGTCTCAAATGAGGATGAGAAATATTTCACGTATACTGCTTATTCTGTTTATGGAAGGTACACGGTTAGTCCATCTGGATCAATTCAGGCTGGTTTTGAAAGAAATAAAGTGTTTGGTATTTGTATCGATGGGATTCCTGATGCTGGCTGCGTAAAGCAGGTATTGCCCCAGTGCAGGACAGCTAAAAATTATTGGTTTGAGCTTAGACAAGTTTACATGTTTGGAGATAGCTTTAAAATTGAGGAAAATTATACCTTGAGCCTCTCTGATTGTAAGGCCAAGTGTGAGAACGATTGCTCGTGTGTTGCCTATACTTCAGTTGATAGTGACGAGGGGACTGGCTGCCAAATTTGGGGAAACAGTTCGAGTTTTGTGACAGCATCAAACAGTCTAGCCAGAGGTGTTTTCTTTCTTACAAGAAAAGGTAATTCTTGTTTCTTGAGACCAAATTTATTCAATAGACTAATAGACTTAGAAAAACTTGGTGATTCCTATCCTGCATCAAACATACATGATGCAACAATATTGCAACTCATATTAGGATTGCTTTATTCAGCTCAAGATAAATCGTTTTATAAGGGAACCACATTAATATCACCAATCATCATTGTCTCATTTGCTCGTCATTCCAAAATTTACTAACACTAGAACCAAGCTATTTTGTTCAGATCATGATGCTGCAGGATTTAATTTCCAGGATAATAGATTCCATCTTCAGTTCAAACATGGCTCGTGCAAATGAACAACCACACCTTACAAAATCTTGATTTTGAGTTTTGAGGCTATTGGAAATTTGGATTTTCTAGAGTACCAACCTTTATGATAGCATCATAGTATGTTCGAAGAAAAATTCTGTTGAATGTGTACAATTTTTTGACAGATGAGAAGCGAAAATGGTGGATATGGCTGACAATAGCAGCGCCCATAATGGTATTGGTTTTCGCTTTCTCCTTATGCTATCTGAAACAAAAAAAACTCATAGCAAGAGGTGAGCAATACATTCACCCTAGCACTAGTCCACGATTACACTTTATTATCTCTAATAAAATCTTCAACTTTTGCAATGGGCAACTAGGCAAAGCCAGAGAAGTGGAGAAAGTGTTATACGAGCTAGCAGGTCCTAACGCCATTCCTGGCCAGTACAACGACAAGAAGTTGAGGCATGATATACAAATTTTCAGCCTTGAAACTATACATGTTGCCACAAACAATTTTTCGTCTGATAATAAGTTAGGCGAGGGCGGCTATGGACCCGTTTATAAGGTAAGAACTAAGAAGTTAAGAAGCTTTTTGGCTTAAGCTGATTTGTTAGATTTGCTAATTAGTAGCCAAAATTACAGGGGATGTTAGTAGATGAGCAAGAGGTAGCCATAAAGAGACTTTCAACAAGTTCAGGGCAAGGATTGGTTGAGTTCCAAAATGAGATTAAGCTGATTGCTAAACTCCAGCACACTAATCTTGTTAGGCTTTTAGGATGTTGTGTTGAAGGGGAAGAGAAGATATTAGTTTATGAATACATGATGAACAAAAGCTTAGACTTGTTCCTATTTGGTATGGATTTCCTATTTCATGCCTTATTTGCTTAATAAATCTTAAGTATTTCATTACGTTTCAATAATTTTGTATCAACAGATGCTAGCAGAAGAGATACACTAAAGTGGAATACCCGTTTGAACATTATTGAAGGAGTTGCTCAAGGAATACTTTATCTCCATGAGTATTCAAGGCTGAGGGTGATTCACAGAGATCTAAAAGCCAGCAATATTTTACTTGATGACAATATGAACCCCAAAATCTCAGATTTTGGTTTAGCCAGGATATTTGGAAAGCAAGAATTTGAAGCAAACACGGAGCGAATTGTTGGTACCTAGTAAGTCCGTAATACTAGATGGTATAATTATCTAACTATGGAGATTCATTGTCTCGCATTGCTTTCTTTTCAGTGGCTATATGTCTCCGGAATATGCCATGAATGGCATTGTATCAATGAAGACAGACGTATTCAGTTTTGGAGTGCTAGTACTCGAGATTTTGAATGGCAAAAGAAACAACAGCTGCTATCACTTGGAACGCCCACTAAACCTCATAGGATATGTAAGTTTCTCTCATTAAAAATCAATAATGTAGCATGATCCAGAGATAGATGGAGGGTACTCAATTGAGAAATCACTAAACTTTCAACGGATTTTAAAACTCAAAACCCATAAAGCGTACAATGACTCCAGAGTTAAAAACTTAAAATGTACAATTTGTCAAGTTTACATTCTGGATCCGCCTCTGGCATGATCCAGAATGTAAACTTGATAAGTTAAACAAGCCTTGGCGTAACTGGTAAAGTTGTTGTCATGTGATCAGGAGGTCACAGGTTGAGACGTGGAAACAGCCTCTTGTAGAAATACAGGGTAAGGTTGTGTACAATAGACCCTTATGGTCCGGCCCTTCCTCGAAACCCGCGGATATAGATTTTGTTAAAACTCAAAACCCATAATTCCAGAGTACAATGACTCCAATTGTCAAGTTTACATTCTGGATCCACCTCTGGCATGGAAACTTGATAGTTTGCTATATCAAATTTTGTCTCTGTGAAAAGCAGGCAGAGTATTTGAAGAACTAACTGATCCAATGTTGTCGAATGAATCAACACCAACAAACGAGGTAATGAGATGCATTCATGTCGGATTACTGTGTGTTCAAGCCAATCCTATGGACAGGCCATCCATGTCAAATGTGGTTATGATGCTCACAAGTGATAGCTCGCAACTACCCATTCCCAAGCAACCAGCATTCTTCATTGAGACGCCTAGAGCAGAGACTGATATAAGCGAACAACTTGTAAATTGTTCCACAAATGGGTTAACAATTTCAGATATGATTGCTAGATGATTAATTTTATCCCTCAAAATTGTCAATTTTATCAAGATTGAACTTGTTAGATTCGTTGCTTGCTGCATGAGGGGATGATGATTTGATTTTGCTTGTTTACTCCTTTTTCTTTTCTCCTTCCACACAATTAGCTAATATTGTTTAGGCTATACTTTAATTGCGGGTAACGGGGTATGTGTCTGCATTAAGTATGAACCATTAACAAAAGAGAGAGTAAGGTTGTTGGTAGAGGCGGATCCGGAATTTGAACTCTATTGGTATAATATGTGAGTTTTTTAGCATTGAACCTATTATACTTTTAAAGTTATGGGTTCATAACTACTAGTTGTTGCAATATTAATGAATTTTTACACATAAATTATGTTCCACATCAGAAGTATTGTTGGGGTTGTTTTTTTACTGGAGTGTTGAATTTTTTTATTTTTTACCCGTAAGCAACTTTATTCATGTTAGGGGTGGAAGCGGAAGTTGTTCATCCACACCCACTTTGTCGGAGAATAATACTGTATGTAGGTCAAATTTTTTTATACATATATACTCCCTCCGTTTCAATTTATGTGAACTCATTTGACTGGGTACAGAGTTTAAGAAAAGAGAGAAGACTTTTGAACTTGTGGTGTAAAATGAAGCACATATATTTTGTGTGGCTATAAATCATTGCATAAAGGTAAATTGTTTCCAAAAAGGGAAAGAGGTCATTCTTTTTGGCATGGACTAAAAAGGAAATAGGTTCATATAAATTGAACCGGGGATTATTAGATATTTAATCGTCTTGGCTAGTTCGCATTTTTCTTTATTTTTTTGGTGCATACAAATGCTGCTTTTGGACACAATGGTTTAGGGCCAGGGTGATCGAAAAACGGGCTGATAAAAGCAACCCACTAGACTATTACTAACTGCTAACCTTTGATTGGTCCACGTGGCATATGGTGGGCTCCCCAGGAAAGAGGTGGTTGGCCGTTTCCTATTGTAGGCCTCTCCCAACCAAAACCAACATAACAACATTGTTGGCAAATAAAAGAAAAAACATTTTGCATGTCTTACATTTTCAAGATTCAAGGCCGTGCACTCTTCCTCCTTTCTTTAGCTACCAAACAAAATATGCAGTGCTGGAGTTGGTCATTTTTTATAGCAGAGATACTAAGCATGTCAATTTTTATTGCACAAACATTTAAGCAACTCATTTTTTATAACAGCCCCATGTATTGATGTTCAGGTAGGATTATTGAATAGATATTAACAAAAAGGTAATAAGGAATTTTCACTGGGGAATGAAGGGGGAATGGAGTTTCTAGCAAGCAGTTGGGGTAAAGAATTTGTGGCAGGTGGATTTGGAGGAATAGCTGGTGTCATTTCTGGTTATCCACTCGACAGCATTAGAGTTCGACAGCAGAATTCTAAGAGCGGTTCTGCTTTTAGAGTTTTTCGCAATGTTATCGCGACAGAAGGTCCCCTGTCTCTCTACAGGGGAATGGCTGCTCCTCTTGCCTCCGTCCTATTTCAGGTCATTCTTCTTCCTTCTTTTGATAGTCTTTTTACGCGAAATTTGCCACACTTGAAGATAGAATTCTTGAATGATATGGTTGTCAGTACAAATATTATTTTTATTGTATTTTTGTGCCTGAAGGGGAGTCCTGGTGTAACTGGTAAAGCTGCTGCCATGTGAGGAGGTCACGGGTTCGAGATGTGGAAACAGCCTCTTGCAGAAATGCATGGTAAGGCTGCGTATAAAAGACCCTTGTGGTCCGGCCCTTCCCCGGACCCCGCGCTCTATGCGAGCTTAGTGCATCGGGCTGCCAACCCACTCCATCTCTTCATTGTGCAAGAGGGAATTTGATTTTGAACTTGAATTTGGCTTTATTCTTACAATTTGAAAATATTGCTCTCCTCCCTGGTGCAGAATGCCATGGTATTTCAGATCTACGCAACACTATCACGGGCATTCGACAGAGATATCCCAGCCAGCAACCCACCCTCGTACAAAGGTGTTGCTTTAGGTGGCACTGTGGCCGGAGCAATACAAAGCCTAATCATCAGCCCTGTGGAATTGGTGAAAATCCAACTTCAATTGCAAAGCAAAACCAATCAGTACAACAATCAAGCAGCTAGTCTCAAGGGTCCAATAGATGTGACAAGAAGAATATTCAGACATGAAGGTTGGAGGGGGATATACCGCGGGTTAACAATTACTGTCGTCAGAGATGCACACTCTCACGGTCTGTATTTCTGGGTGTACGAGTATACTAAAGAGCAACTTCACCCTGGTTGTCGCAAGAACGGTCAAGAGAGCTTTCAAACAATGCTCATAGCTGGTGGTCTAGCAGGAGCAGTTAGCTGGATAAGCTGCTATCCACTAGATGTTGTTAAGACCAGACTCCAAGCTCAGTCACACTCTAAATCTGCAAAATATCACGGTATTGTCGATTGCTTCAGGCGAAGTGTGAGATTAGAGGGACATGCTGTTCTCTGGCGAGGCGTGGGAACTACAGTTGGCAGAGCATTTTTAGTGAATGGGGCTATTTTTACTGTCTATGAAACTGCCCTGAGGTGCCTTTTTAACAACAATAACAATAATCATGCAAATGTTTAAATCTGAAAATGCATTATAAAACAGTATTGAAGAACTGCATTATAAAACAGTATTGCCTTTTCATCAACTCTTTGGTTGGCATTACTTCACTAGAAAACACAGGATCCTAAGTAGGGCTGTCATAGCATGATCTTTCACTACACAAAGCAATAATCATGTAAACAAATGAATGTGATAGTCACAGTCATGTCAAATCACAAACGCCTGAAGTACAAGCATATATGCCTGAAGTTCAATCTCAAATATCGCATGGCCAACAACAAGTTGCAGTTGAAGCTGTTAGAGATACTACTGATGCAGATGATAGAGCAGTTGTCACGTGAAGGCTCATTGCCCAGTATACGGAGGAATCATCATGTATAGCTCGCGTAGGAGTCCTAGTATGAGTTCCACAAATATTCTAGAAGCCAACTCCTATTAACCTTCCTGTGTATATCTAAAGACACAATTGCACATCTAGAGTAGGTATCTGGAGCTACAATATGGTGTTTGATACCCAAATGTATTTAATCTCAACCATGTACAGTCAGTAACAAATAGTGCAGTGAGAGGTGTTATTGATCTTGTGAGATACAAGTTTGAACATGTTATGGATTGCTCGAAAACAAGCACTTCAAATGATTTAACGAACTTGTTTTTAATCCTTTGCCGAGTTAGTAAATGAATGCCATTCTACAACTTCAGATATTTAGTTAGGCTTTGACAAGTTAAACTTGCAAAAATTTATGAACTTGGGCTATGGGTCCTGAAATCGGCTATCTGTGCACTTGCCCCAATTAGCTAGCCCAACAAAAGGTGATACACTATCTCCTAATGAAGACTATTGCTTGTATCCTTCATCTGGATTTTACCTTATCAAGATGTTCATCCTTTACATCTTTCATGTCTTCCTCCCCATTATCCTCATTCCAGAGGATCAGCAACTTAGTTCATTTTATATCATCTGATTTGAGTGCAAATGAAGATTCAGAAATCTTAGATAAGTAGTAAACTAGACAATCAAATGGATATCAACTTCCTATTTACTCTCCCAAATTTAGTTGCGCAAAACAAGCTAGGAAACACATAGTATTAATTAAAGGGGTTTTGACACAGTTACCCACAAAAACAAAACTATTTACCCTTGTCTACCCATAAACTAATTACATTTCCTAGCCATGGTAGGTTTTGTGGGGAATTTTTTCTTTATTCTCCAATTCTTTTTTTATTTCTATGCTTCTTTTCTTTTCTTTTTTCTTTTTTTTTTCTTTTCTCCTTTTCTTTTTTCTCGTTTTCTTCTTATTTTTTTTCTTTTTTCCTATTCTAATTTTATTTAATTTCTTTTTTTTATTCTTTTTCTCTTCATAATCTAATTTCATTTACTATTTTAACTATTTTTTATTATTCTTTTTTTTTATATTATTATTAAAGAAAAATCAAATTGTGTACCAATTAAATGTAGCTAATACAACCAAAAAAATATTAACTAAGATATGATACCAGTATAGTATATAGTTATACTAACAAGGTATACAATTGTACGCAAAGAGTTAAAAAAAAAGTTTAATTAATTATTAAATTGAAATAATATCAGTTGTCAATAAAAATTTCAAAAAATTCTAAAAGGATCTAATGTTAAGAGTATACCGTTACATTATATAGCATACTATAATATATATAGCTATACTGCAAACACAATTAGCTATATATATATATATATATATATATATATATATATATATATATATTTGCATTTTCAATTTGCCTCTCACGCTGGGTAAAAGCTTAAAGCAAATTAAAAGGGAAAAGACAAGTGAATTTACGGGTAATAAGTATACTATTATACAATAGTATAATAGTATATTGCATATTATTACAATATACTATAACAATATATAGTATACTATAATAGTATACTGTAGCAGTATAACTATATACTCCTATAGTATATTGTATACTGTAGCGGTATATTGTTAGGTAACTGTGTTTGCAGTATAGCTATATACTCCTACAGCATATTGTATACCGTAGCGGTATACTGTAGCTGTGTTCTTCTTCGATTTTCAACTGAAAATTTCATTCTCAATCACCTCAAATCCGCTCCAAATGCTATCAAATTTCAGTATGAACTTCCAAAAGATACTATAAGCAATATTTAACAGCACCCACTTTGAATCAAACAAGAAATCTTCAAAAATAAAATTGAGCTTCAAGCCCAACAATGGTGGATATTCAAATACACACAAAAATTTAGATCTGGGAATCTTACTCGAAGATACTATAAGCAATATTTTATAGTACCATATCGAATCAAACAATAAATCTTCAAAAAAAAACTATTTTCTTCCTTAAAACTTTACGATAACATATAAATTGAAAGTAAATACTATTGGAAAAAGAGATAGAGACAGAGAGGGGTTGAGAGTGGGCGAGAAGTTGAACTAATGTTTTCGGAATGGGGTTTTGACACAGTTGGGGAGTTGAGCAAAGAATTGGAGGAAGGTAAATGAGGAGGAAGAAGAAGAGGAACATAATAAAGGCGGGTAAATAGTTTGGGGAGCATGGGTAGGAGTAGTAAATAGTTTGGGCCTGAGCATTAAAGGGTAAATAGTTTGGAATTAATGGGTATAAAGTAAAATTTTCTCTTAATTAAAATCTGATTCAAAGATGAGACATAGTTTGTGTCACGCCCCAAAACCGTGGGGCGCGACCGGCGCTCGACCGGGTAGCCCCAGTCAAGCGGACCTGGGTGCCTTTCCTATCCCACGTGCTACCCCGTGTTTTCATTACTCATTAATCAAAGGGAATAACCATTTATAATTAAAACACCTTTTTACGAATTATACACAACATACATGGTTACTTAGTGTGGTTTACAAGTTACTGCCCACATACAAAATACATAAGTACATAACCCACGTTTCCTGTCTACGGAGCCTCTAAGGATACAAAAGAGTTTTATAATACTTGTCGGTAACAAGGCTCCGGCTATACCTTACACAAATACCAAAAATAAGACTCCGGGAAGAAATGCGGCATGAGCCACGCAGGGCCCCGAGAGGAAAGGGGCTCACCAATTCAGCTGACGGGAAGTGAAGGAGTGCTACTGTCGGTGGTCTGGAGTACCTGCTATGGATCCACCTACAATCATAACACGAATGTAGCGCCCCCGGCAAAAAGGACGTCAGTACATTTGAATTGTACTGGTATGTATGAACAAACTTTACCCCAAGTAGAATCAATCAATACACAGATAACAAACAGTAATAGAATCAACAATCAAATGCACATGAAAGGAACAACCAAAGCCAAACAAGTTTCACAATCTCTCATTTTCCCCTTTCAACATTATTTCATCACATCAATGATTTCACAACTTTCTCATATTTTCATTTCAATAGTGATTATGATCACTTTCCACCCTTATTACCTCGGCCACCCTTATCACCACAACCCACACCTTATTACTTCGTGTTTCGGCGCGCAACCCGATCCCACCGAACAATCACATTTCACACAACAACAACAACAAATCACATTTCACACGACAACAACAACAAATCACAAAGAATTTTCATAACCATCAATACCATTTCCATCATATACAACAGCCCGCATACAATTTAAGTCACAACGATAATTGCCCACGACAAGTCACATATGATATTACCACAGTTGTTTCAATTGCATCAATTACGATTTCTTTCCATCATTTGTTACACAGCTTTTACCACAGAAACACATTCACACACACACTTGGTTTGTTGCCATTTACTTACACCATTATATCGGGAGACTTAACCAACAACGTTCAAGGTATCACATACCAAATACTCGTACACCAAACAAGGTGACTTTACAAAGGTCAACGTTAGCCATACATACCTGGAATCGAATTTCCCTTTTTACTTCTACTTCGGCTCACCAACAGCCTAGTACCGACAATCTAGTTCACAAGTTAACACGTATATCTTAGAATTGAAGTTCACAATTACTACCCGAACTTTATTTAGGTTATCAACCGCCCCTTTTGCAAATTTATACTCCTACCCAATTCTTTTTACTAGATTTTAGGTATTAAAGAACATGCATGTATGTTTTCAACTTTTATTTTCAAGAATCAATGCATGAGAATCCCCTTTTTGTTTAAATCAGAAAACCAATGAAAAAGGGCTGGCTGCAAGAACGGAGACGAAGACAATTGCTTGAAATTTTCCGGCCCGGGTGACTTTGAAGAATCAAATTGATGAAGGTAGGACTTTCTCTCTCAAGAACTCTCTCTCCCCTCTCTCTAGTTTGTTCAGAAAATATGTTAAAATGAGGGGTTAGGGTGTTTTATTGAAGAAGGGGTCGGGTTTAAAATTTGGAAAAATAGGAGCCCCGAGTCAGGTATGCGATCGCATTTGCGATCGCAAAGAAGAAATGCGGCCCGCAGAATGGACCGGAAAAGTGCTCCAAGAATCTGATCCTACCGTCTGAGTTTGCGGCAGAAATGCAGTCCGCATACACATTCTGCGGTGCATAATGCACCGCATAACTGTCCTTTGAAAAATTCCAAGATGATTACGCGACAACTATGCGGTCCGCATATCAGTTATGCTATCGCATAATGTACCGCATTTTGACCTCAAATTTGACTAACACACTGACTCACTTTGGGATAGAAATGCGGTCCGCATACTTGATTTGCGACCGCACTCTGAACCGCATAATAGCACTTTTCTGGAAAACTTTGATTCTTGATTTTTAAATGCTTAGATTAGTACAAAGGGTCCGACTACTAGGTTTTGAGTATAAATTTTCACGGGACCTTACAGTTTGATCTAGAATTTCAAAGATGTTTTTTGTGTCAATGATCAACTCACCTCAAGTGAAGGCTGGCCTCGTCAACAAGCACCTGTGGGTTGTGGGGTCACTAGAAAACAATGTATGGGCATATGATTGGTCGTTTCTTACATTAGCCAGCTCCCAACAAAATCGCAATTAAGGTATGATTATTGAATAGATATAAGAAAAGATAATAAGGCAGAGAGTTGAAGTAGAAGATAGGTACTCTTGATTGGGGAATGCAGGGGGCATGGATTTTTGGCCAGAGTTTCTTACAAGCAGTTGGGAAAAAGAATTTGTGGCAGGTGGATCTGTACAAAGATTAAGAATGAGAAAGAGTTTGGGAAAATAAGAGCAGATGCAACTTCTGCTATTCTTATTCTGGTTTTTATATAGATTTTGTACATCTTTGAAGATAAATATAAAATTTTGAGATCCTTATCTAATACCCAGTGTTGTGAATAGCGTGAAGCGAGAAGCGAAGCGCCCACTTTTTTGAAGTGAAGCGAAATTTAAAAAAAAACTAAGAATTTGGGCAGAATTTTTCTGAAAAAAATTCGCCAACGTTTCGGCGCTTTTTGAACGTTTAGAAAGAAAAAGAAAAAGAAAAGGAAGAAGAAAAAGAAAAAGAAGAATGAAATAAAAAGTGCAAAAGCAAAACATACCTATTGAAACTTGAAAGCTGTTGTTGAAATGTTGAAGAAGAAGAAGAAGAACCCTAGTTTGCTTGAACAAATCGCTGCTTGAAGCGAGGAAGAAATCGTTGGTTTTAGTGAGGAAGAAATCGCTGGTTTAGAACCCTAGTTTGCTGCTGAAGAAGTCGAAGAAGTGTCTAAAAT